CGCAACCCCTAAACCCTAAATCACCCAGAACCCCTAAGCCCTACACCCTAAACCCTAAACCCTAAACCCTAAGCCGTATTAAACCTTAAACCCAGAACCGTACAGGCCCTAAGCCCTATAAACCCTACAACCAACACCGTAAACGCCCTAAACCCGAAGCCCTGAACCGTAAACGCCCTAACACCGAAACCTCAAAACCCTTTTCCCTAAACCCCTACACCCTAAACCCTGGAACCTTAAACCCTAAACCCTAAACCCTAAACCCTAAACCCCTCAAAAGCAACCAGGCTGCCCCCCTGCTGGTAGTCGTAGGACTCCAGGCCGTCAGGCACCTCGAGCCTGGGGCATCTCCAGCTTCAGTTGGGTTAGGGTTTAGGGTTTAGGGTTTAGGGTTTAGGGTTTAGGGTTTAGGGTTTAGGGTTTAGGGTTTAGGGTTTAGGGTTTAGGGTTTAGGGCTTAGGGTTTAGGGTTTAGGGCTTAGGGTTTAGGGTTCAGGGTTTAAGGTTTAGGGTTTAGGGTGTAGGGTTTAGGGTTTAAAATGTGGGTTTAGGCTTTAGGGTTTAGAGCTTGGAGTTTCTAGGCCTTTGGGATTTTGTTGGGGGGTTTTAGTGTTCAGGACTAGGGGTTAGTTTTGCTGGGGGAGGTCTAGGGTTGGGGTTCACTGCTTAGGATTTAGGGGTTTGTGTTGCTTTTGATTGTTTGAGTTGCTTTTGGTTGTTAACCCCCCCTGCTGGGGGAGGTCTAGGGTTGGGGTTCACTGCTTAGGATTTAGGGGTTTGTGTTGCTTTTGATTGTTTGAGTTGGTTTTGGTTGTTACCCCCCCCCCCCCCCCCTCCCCCACACACCAAACAACCCCACGGAGCGCCCCAAACCCTCAAATCCCCCACACCCCAACACTATAAACCCCTGAACTCAACCCCCAAACCCCCAAACCCCCAAACCCCCAAACCCCCAAACCCCCAAACCCCCAAACCCCCAAACCCCCAAACCCCCAAACCCCCAAACCCTCAAACCCTCAAACCCTCAAACCCTCAAACCCTCAAACCCTAACACCCTGAAATCCTGAAATCCTGAAACCCTAAAACCCTACAACCCTAAAACCCTAAACACCCTAAGACCGAACCCTAAACCCCTAAACCCCTAATCCTAAACACCCTAAACCCTAAACCCTAAACCCTAAACCCTAAGGCCTGAACCTCTAAACCCCTAAATCCTAAAATCCCGAAACCCTAAACCCTGAACCCCTAAACCCTAAACCCTGAACCCCTAAGCCCCCAACCCCCACCCCCCCTAACCCGCTAAACCCTAAACCCTAAACCCTAAACCCTAAACCCTAAACCCTAAACCCTAAACCCTAAACCCTAAACCCTAAACCCTAAACCCCCGAAATAGCCCCAAGTGAATGAAGGCATGCGGCGGAATCTCCATGTTCAGCTGATCCCAATCCGTCGGGTCGGGCTTTGGACCCTACCAGGGCTTTAAGGTTTCAGGGCTGAAAAGCCCTAAACCCTAAACCCCAAACCCTAAACCGGGTATATGGGGCCATTTGAGGCTTTGGCTTGTACATTGCTCTCGGTTTTAGGTTGTGGGGCTCCTAGTTACTAGTTTGCTTCCTTGTTTCTTGGGCTGTAGGTTGCTTTTGGCGCACGCGCCAAACGCTCAGGAAGGAAGGAATGTGTAGGGTTTGCGGCATAGGATTTGGGGTTGAGGGTATGGGATGTTAATAGGGTTTAAGGTATAGGGTGTGAGCCCCATGGGCCCGATGCAAGACCCTCAACCCTGCAAACTACCAAAGGCCCATAAACCCTACAAGGCCCCATGCAAACTCTGTAGCACCCTACACCCTAAACCCTCAACCCTACAAGCCCTACAAGCCCTACAAGCCCTACAAGCCCTACACCCTAAACCCTAAACCCTAAACCCTCGGAAGTTTCAAGTACTGAGCCGGCCGGAACGTATTTCTCCATGGCCGACGCCATGTTCGAATCCTCTGACACCTCGGTTGGTGGGTTTAGGGCTGAGGTCTTCAGCCGAACGTTGTGCAACCCTGAACACTACATCCACACGGTCTGGGTTTAGGGTTTAGGGTTTAGGGTTTAGGGTTTAGGGTTTAGGGTTTAGGGTTTAGGGTTTAGGGTTTAGGGTTTAGGGTTTAGGGTTTAGGACGAGACCTGTACACTCAGAGTGCCTCTAGGGCTTTGCTGAACATCGGCCTTTAGAGCGCTGATCTCCTCCGGGCGCGCCGAGAACAGCGCCGGCCGCAGCACATGCAGCGACTCGTTTTCACCTCCCCCAGGGGTGTCTGTGATTCGTGTTGTGTTTGCTAAGGATTCTTACTGTTTAGCATCTTTCACAATACATCTTTTGTGGCGTCCTAATTATAGGAGTTACCCAGAATTCCCTTGTACTCTCTTCACAAGGAGCACGTGCACGTAGCTTTGGTTTAACACCTGTCAATAGGAGATGCATCTAGCTAATACGGGCTCGATGAACCTGCTAGGGTCATCCAGCTGGGGGGTGGCGATCAACGGATGCCAGCTGCAAACCAAAGAAGCACTAACTGCGCCTCGTGTGAGCTCGAGCACGAACTGCGTGAAACCTTCGGGGCAGACTGGGGCTCCAGCTGACATTGGGATGAGGGCTGGGGGTGTAGAGGGCTATCATGACACCTTCCTATACACGCTGAGTACCCATCTAGCAGCTTATGGATCGGATGACTACTTTGGGGGTACCAAGCTGCTTGTCTAGCAGCTCATTGTACCCTGTCACTACTTTGGGGTACCATAACTTCTTGCTCTGAACTTCCACAAATGCCGTGGACACTAGTTCCTGCGCAAACCCCGAAACCCTAAATTCTAAACCCTAAACCCTAAACCCTAAACCCTAAACCCTAAACCCTAAACCCTGAACACACACCAATCAACGAAGCAGCAGAGGACATCGGTGAGCATCCAAAGCGCGCAGGCCGGGACCCCGAGGGTTTAGGGTCCGAAAACCGAAGAAGGGGGAAAAGGGTACCAATGGGCTACCCAGAAATTGCTCGTCTCCTGGCCTGGGTAGATGACGCTCTTCCTCAGCTTTGATGCTGCCAGGGCGCTGGGGTCATACTTCTTAATGGGCTGAGGTCATATAGGGGCCGACTTCAGCGGACTGTGCATTTTGGGTGGTTTTGATAGAGCTACACGAGTCATGTGATGAGAGCAAAGGCATGCCACTGGCAAGTACTCCCCGCCCCCCCCAAGCCAGGCGGCTTGGGTTGGATTCGGGCACTTAGGCAAGACAGCCCACTTCACAGGAACAGAAACTCTTCCCCCTGTGATCCCTCACAAGGTACGAAGCTCGGGGCATTGGCTCGGAGACAGGGCTTGGGGTGCAGGGTGGTCGTACCAGACACGCACACACGCACCGGCAGCAAGACTAAGCGAAAAACCAAGTTCAGCTAATCCCCTTGTGGCTGCACAAACTCCAACAGTATCCCCTTGGCACGTGGGACAATGCCTGCAGCTGAAGGCACCGCCCCCGACCAGGGCAATTATCTAAGCTCCGCATTGCACGAACACCACTTGCGCGGTACAGGTTCATGGGAAACGATTGGCATGATGTCATGATACGTGTTCACCCTAAGCCCGTGCAGCCCAACCCCCTCGTGAATCCTGAAACCCTATAAACCCCAAACCCTAAACCCCAAACCCCAAACCCGAAACCCCAAACACTAAACCCCAAATCCTAAACCCTAAACCCAAAACCCTGAACCTAAACCCTGAACCCTGAACTTCATCCCGGCGACTCATACACGCCATCGCATCCTGCAGGCCAGGACCTTGCTTTCTGGGGACCATTTAGGGTTTAGGGTTTAGGGTTTAATTAGGGTTTAGGGTTTAGGGTGAAGTCTGGTGCTTGAGGCTAAACGTCCATAGTCCCAGGAGGGTTTTGGGTTTAGGGTTGGTCCTGTAGTCCCTATTAGGGACTGCAGTATACGGGGGAACATCCCAAGTTTAGGGTTTAACGGTTTAGGGTTTAGGGTTTAGGGTTACCCTGAACCTGTTTGTACCAGTGCCCTCCAGAACCAGCTGTGCTATCGTGCGCCAAGACAGGTCTGGGGTTGAAAGCCCTAATCAGGACCTAGCAGAAACGCATGTGAGCGTTTGATCTAAATTGTTCTAAATTGACCTGTTTTCGGAAGTAATCTAGGCATCTTCATGGACACCCAGGTCGGACCAATACTAGAACAATCCTACGCGTGTACACCCTAAACCCTAAACCCTAAACCCTAAATCAACCTGCACATGCTTCATGGCCATGGCAGGCAATTGTTCTGGCACCCTTCGGTTCTGGGGGGGTGCGAACTAATGTATACTGAACTTGGAACCCTTTTGCTGCTGCTTATAGGAATTGAGGGTTTAGGGTTTAGGGTTTAGGGTTTAGGGTTAATCACGGTACCCAAAACTTTCCAAAATATTCCCAAGTATCCCTAAGCAATGTGTTGCGCCGAGTCCCTGAGACCTACAAGACTCTGAAGTCTCAAGTGAGCAGAGGCAACCAAAGCGCAGCGATTGCAATGACGCCTCGTTGCCGTTCATTCGCATTACGCATTATACCCTAAAGCATTACGCATTACACCCTAAACCCTAAACCCTAAACCCGAAGCCCCATAAAAGTAGGGTGGAAGCCTTCTGCGGTCGGGAAGTGTAGTGGCATGGTGGGGGCCCTGGTGGGGAGGAAAGGATTCCTATGAGTTTTAGTCTTTACGGTTTAGAAAAGATTCGCTAGGAGCTATGAACTATACACTCCATATCTGAGAGATCCTCTGAAAATCCTAACCTCTGTTGGCGTTGGGGTGTAGGAAAGCCTAAACCCTATGACGCCTCTAGTGCACTGCTGAGACCTTAGAGGGGTGTTGGGCTCAATTCTGGTCTACAAGACCCAAGAGTTACCCAGGTCGAACAAGGGCACCCTTTTTGGTTTAAAGGGGAGTATAAGGGCCTACTCCGGGTCTTAGTCTAACTCCAGACGATGCGCCCGCCGCTGCTGATGAAGGTGTCGTCCACATCGGAGAACACCTGTCCACCGCAAATGGCAACCGAAACAAACCCGAAGCCCTAAGCGAAAATCCCTAACTAATCCGTAGCAAAAGGGGTGGGGTCAAAGACCCAGCAATGACAAGCTAAACCGAACTAACCTCATGCACCCTACACCCTGTAACCCCCAGCAAGCGAGATCTCGGAGCCCTCCATAGGATAGACTAAACCAAGCCTGAAGGGAAGGAGGTTCAGGGGGGCTAGGTACCTAGACAACCTTAGAAAGTAGTGGGGAGTGTTCGGAACCTTGAATTACATAACCTTACCCACCCTGAACTCCCGACCCTTAAGGACCCCATAGTTAAGGTTTCTAGTCCCCATGCCAAAGAGCCGTAATGCCTTCCGACAGCTGAAAATCTCAAGCTCACTGGCACAGGACACACCAGTCAAAAGCCAGGGACCTCTGGGCAGCTTAGACTTGCAGTGAAGTCCGGAAAGTTGGAACATGGGCTTAGGTTGATCAGTGCTGGGTTTCCCAATACTTGACCTTAAGGGCATTAGGATAGTGATTTTCCAACCCTAAACCCTAAACCCTAAACCCCAAACCCTAAACCCTAAACCCTAAACCCCAAACCCTAAACCCCAAACCCTAAACCCCAAACCCTAAACCCTAAACCCCATGAACCTGAAAATCCTGCTAGAACCTTTATGGCAAAGCAGGGCCTGGACGGGACCGAAGGGATTGCACGGTGCCTCATGCCGGGCACTTGCGGACGTGAGGTTCCGGGTTTGGGGTTTAGGGTTTAGGGTTTAGGGTTTAGGGTTTGGGGTTTAGGGTTTAGGGTTTAGGGTTTAGGGTTTAGGGTCTGGAGTATGGTGTTGAGGTTTTGCTTCGGGTGGGGAGAGGTTCAGGTAAGCTTTGGGGGGCCTTGCAAGGATCTGTTCTAGATGTGGGGTTTAGTGTCAGTGCGCTCTTCTTGGGGTGTCCTAAATACACGAATAGACGCAGGTGCCCCAAGCGAAACGGGTGCGACACGGACATCCCGACCACCCTAAACCCTAAACCTGGATATCGCCAAACCCCAAATTCCTCTGCAAAAATGCCCTAAACCCTGAACACCCTGAACCCTGAAGCCAAAGCGTGACCCTACCTCTACGAAGCTCCAACTGAGCGGAGGGTTCAGGGTATGGCGTTCAGGGTTTCGGGCTTCGGGTTCAGGGTTGAGGGTCTAGGGATTTGGGTACCCTAAACCCTAAACCCTAAACCCTAGACCCCAAACCCTAAACCCTAAACCCTAAACCCTAAACCCTAAACCCCAAACCCCAAACCCCAAACCCTAAACCCTAAACCCTAAACTCTAAACCCTAAACCCTAAACCCTAAACCCTAAACCCTAAACCCTAAACCCCAAACCCTAAACCCTAAACCCTAAACCCTCCGTTTCTGGGGTTCGGCGCATGACAGTGGTTCAGATCTGGGGTGCAGACCGGCTCGTCCTTGGGAATGGCACCTTCCCACGAGGTGTTTGCGGAGTTCTCGGAGAAAAGAAGGGTTTGACATGTAGGGGTTTAGGGTTTAGGGTTTAGGGTTTGGGGTTTGGGGTTTAGGGTTTGGGGTTTAGGGTTTAGGGTATAGGGTTTAGGGTTTAGGATTTAGGGTTCAGGGTTTAGGGTTTGTTTAGGGTTCAGGGTTCAGGGCTCAGGGTTCAGGATTTAGGGATCCCAATCCGAAACACAGGGAGCGCTTCTGGGCGTCCTCGTTCAAGCATTGGGGACGTTCAGGGAAGGGCGCAATAAACAGGCTTGAGGCTTTTGCCACCAACCTGACAGCTTGAGCAATAAACCCTAAACCCTAAACCCTATATAAACCCTAAACACTGAGCCCCAAAAATAATCTGTCCAGACTGTCCAAATGCAGCAGCAGGCGCCTGAAGTCTTTGCAGCCACGCTCGTCGCGTGGCGTTGGAGGAGACCCTGAGAGCGGTTTCGGGGTTTAAGGCTTCGGGGTGTAGGGTGGTCCGGGGTTTAGGGTTTAGGGTTTAGGGTTTAGGGTTGTTGGGGCCTCTTAAAGAGGCTACGCCTGGGCCTGTAGGGGTCTGAGGCAGGCTTGGCCGTGGGTCATCCAGGTGCGGGCGCGGAAGGCCGTCGAGAGCATCTGCAATTAAGCATCTTGGGTCGTTGGTTTAGGGTTAAGGGTTGAAGGGTTACGGGTTATAAGGGTTACTATAAGGGTTCAGGGTTGAGGCTTAGGGGTTAAAGGGCTTAAGAACTCGCGATTTGGTGAGACTTTCTTCCAGCAGAGTCAGAACAGAGTTCGGGAACTGCCACGAAAAGCAAGGTCGAGAACCAGGATTACCCTCCACTCCGTTAATGTCAGACGCGTGTTGTATGGCCTCTAAACCTCAAACCCTAAACCCTAAACCCTAAACCCCAGGAGGGTTTTGGGCTCCACGGTTGATTTCAACGTGTTCAAACTCTTTGTGCACCTACCCCTCCGGTTTAGGGTTAAGGGTTTAGGGTTTCGGGTTTAGGGTTTCGAAAACCAAAAGGCGCAGAGTCTTAAGGGTTTCTGTCGTCCGTCAAGCTTGAAAACCAGAGTAGATAAAAAAATGGTACCTATAGCCTAAACCCTAAACCCTCAACCCTAAAACCCTAAACCCTAAATCCAAAGCCCTTCATTGCAAGCCCTAAACCATCCTAACCCAAAGCACTGGACATCACGACCATGCTCAAGGCCCCTACGTGCGCCCTAAAGCCTAAAGCAGAAACCCTCAAAACCCTGAACCCTAAACCCTAACCCTAAACCCTAAGCTTTTAACCCTAAACCCTAAACCCTAAACTTTTAAACCCTAAACCCTAAACCCTAAACCCTAAAAGGTCGAGGTGGGCCCTAGGGACCTAAAGCCTGGTTCCCTCGAGCCGTGTGGCCAAGGCGGCGTCGGAAGCAGCATCAGCCTGTGTTGGAGGGTTCAGGGTTGGTTCAGGGTTCAGGGTTCCTGCAGGGCTTAGGGTTTAGGGTTTAGGGTTTAGGGCTTAGGGTTTAGGGTTTAGGGTTTAGGGTTGAGTGTTGAGGGTTTAGGGTTCCTGGCCTAAATCACAAGCCTGGAACACCAAACCCTCCACCGCAACTCCCAAACTCTACATATAAATCCTGAATCCCAAGAACCTGAAACCTTGAGGCAGAAAGATGTTCGACTGAAGACTTGCATGAGCCAAGGAATTAGACAGGTTGCCTAGGGTTTAGGGTTTAGGGTTAGGGATCCCGAAAAGGGTTGCGCAAGGCTTCCCGAACTCTCTGCACTGAGCCAGCCAGGAAGAACAATCTTCCGGCTGATGTACAGGGAGTACGACGATTGTTTTTGAGGGTGAAGCGCATGAGATAGTGCTGACGCTGTGTAGCTCCCAACACGCAGAGCTTGGTTCCGGAAGAACATGGAAGAACCCTAAGCCCGGAAAATCCGAAACCCTAGGCTTCCTAAACGTTAAACGGTCTTCCTGCGAAGACCGCATTGAACTCAAGATTTGAAAACAAACCCCTCTAACAAACCTTCGCTTAGGGTTTAGGGTTTAGGGTTTAGCACGATCCGGCCTGCAGCATGCAATCTTCGTTGCATGCTGTGGCCAATGTTTGCAGCAGGGCCGTCAAGGCCAAGATCCTCGTGAGCATGGCGGGCATGTTCGTCCTTGGCAGTGCAAGTTTCGCACTGCCCCCTGTGCGCTCCGACTGCAAGACCCAATGGTGCGAACTGCTTCAAGACGTTGCTGACACTAGTATGCAGAGAGATCTAGGCCACGATGTCGCAGCAAACATGCGAAACGATTGCGGAGAGGAGCCCCCACCAACAATGGTGCTTTTCTCACACGGAATGAAGAGGCCCAGGCTAGGGATTGAGCCAAGAGCCTGCAACAGCGCGAGTTGTTAGGGTTTAGGGTTTAGGGTTTAGGGTTTAGGGTTTAGGGTTTAGGGTTTAGGGTTTAGGGTTTGGGGTTTGGGGTTTGGGGTTTGGGGTTTGGGGTTTGGGGTTTGGGGTTTGGGGTTTGGGGTTTGGGGTTTGGGATTTGGGATTTAGGGTTTAGGGTTTAGGGCTTAGGGCTGCAGAGCTCGGCTTCAAAGAAAAGAAGGTGCATCCTTGTTGCGCCAGCCAGATTTATTCGGGATCCCTTCCTTAAAAGGGGATGAGGGGACTTTTGGGCGCTTTGGGAGGGTTTAGGGTTTAGGGTTTAGGGTTTAGGATTTAGGGTTGAGGGTTTAGGGTTTAGGATGAGAAAAGAACTCAAGCCACAAACCCCAACTGGACTCAGACGGCAAGCTTAGCATGTGACATGACAAACGTCCAACCCGAAACCTGTCAACCCTCACTGTACAACAGCGCCAAAAGTAGGGTTTAGGGTTTAGGGTTTAGGGTTTGGGGTTTAGGGCAACAGCGCCAAAAGTAGGGCCTGGGTCAAAGCTGCCAATCGCCCTGCAGGCCTATAAGCCCTGAACCCTGAACGTCGCTTTTCCGCGGCGAAAAATCTTCGACAACCACCAGCCGCCGCTTGCGCGGCGCTGCCAGCCACGCCGGCGACATCTCCGCTGCCGCCTAAACCCTAAACCCTAAACCCTAACCCCTAAACCCTAAACCTTAAACCCTAAACCCTAAACCCTAAAACCTGGCGGGTCTTGGGGCTCCAAACCCCCAAATCCCAAACCCTGAACCAAAAACCCCTAAACCCTCAAATGCTTCCACCCTTAAACCCTGAAGCCCTGTACCCCAAGCCCAACCCTGTACCCCAAACCCCTAAACCCCTAAACCCCTAAACCCCTGAACCTCAAACCCGGAACCCTAAACCCTAAACCCTAAACCCTAAACCCTAAAACCCTAAACCCTAAACCCTAAACCCTAAACCCTAAACCCTCCAAGATCACCAGGCCACCAGGGGCCGCAGCACGGCTGCTGCAGGGGCGAGGCAGAGCCGGCGTTTGGCGAGAGTCCAGGAGTTTGCAGGCCGCCTTGGAGTTAAGGTTTAGGGTTTAGGGGTTTAGGGTTTAGGGTTTAGGATTTAGGGGCTTAGGGGCTTAGGGGTTTAGGGGTTTAGGGGTTTAGAGGTTTAGGGGTTTAGGGGTTTAGGGGTTTAGGGGTTTAGGGGTTTAGGGGTTTAGGCGTTTAGGGGTTTAGGGGTTTAGGGGTTGGGCGTTTAGGGTTTAGGCATTTAGGGTTTCGGGTTGAGGGTTTACGTTTAGGCTCAAAAGAATACAGAAACCTTCTGTCCTTTCCGGGCCCTTTATTGCCCTATACCTCAGACTGCCTATGGATGAGGAAGCCCTCAGGATTGGGGAGTTTGGACTTTTAGGGTTTAGGGTGTAGGGCTTGGGGTTAAAGGTTTAGGATTTAGGGCTAGCTGTTTGGAACTAAGGAGTTCTAGTGTGCGTAGGCGTGACATGCAAGAAGGCTTTTGGACGCCTTCTGTGCAACCTCCGGCTCGTGGGGTGTTCGGGTTACCCTAAACCCTAAACCCTAAACCCTAAACCTCCTAACCCCCGTGTCTCAATATCTCACCTCGGAGATGCACCAGGCAAGGCACATGATGCTCTTCTCCTCATCAGTGTACTCGTTGTACCTCAAGGGCCCGATACCCTAAACCCGAAACTTAAAAACCCGTTCAGGAGGGAACCTTCGACCCCTGAACCATATCCCCTACACTATCCCTGAACGCGAAACCCTAAACCCTAAACCCTAAACCCTAAACCCTAAACCCTAGACCCTAAACTCCGTTGGGGGGGGGGGAGCTTTGGAGATGCAGCGAGGACTCCCCACCACACCCTGCGGCCCAGATATCCCCAAACCCTAAACCCTAAACCCTAAACCCTAAACCCTAAACCCTACTCCCTAAACCCTAAACCCTAAACCCTAAACCCTAAACCTCCTAACCCTAAACCCTACCTCACATCCTTCATGGGCCCCTGTAAGCCCTCTCCCGGGCCACGTGACAGCGGAAGGCCCAGGGATTGCAAGCTGCCGAACCAGCGTGGCGCCAGCAGAACTTTCAGGCCGCCGCACTTCGTCTGCCTGGGGGGGTTTAGGGTTTAGGGTTTAGGGTTTAGGGTTTAGGGTTTAGGGTTTAGGGTGGGGTTTGGGCATCAGCTGGACGCCGTCAGGAATACAAAGAGCTACATGTTTACTAAGAGCCTCTAACCTAAAGCTCAGTCTTGTTGCATGCTTTCATCTCTGCCCTTCGTCGTGCTCTTCATTCAGCCTTTGTATCGAGCAATGCGCCTACAGTTCCTCATGGTTGTTGTCTCTGTGCTTTTCTATCTCCAAAACCTTGGTTTGCATGACGACATCGACTGCACGGCTTCCTTTTGCAGTAGCTGTTCGGTTCGCCAGTTTTGGGCTTCAGACGGTTGGCAGCCAAGCAAGCAGTTGAGCGAGACCACCAAGCAGCTTTCTGGCTCGTGCCCTTGTGATGGCGATAGCTGAGACGGTTGCTGAGGCTTTGATGCTTTCAATGTTTGGTAGGAGGACAACACCTTTGACACCAGCGACTTGCAAGTCATCACGCAAATTTTCGTTCATCAAGACCTCGTCCATTTTCTGAATCTTCTGCTGCGCCTTCGACATCTCGGTAGTGCAACTCACATCAACCAGGTACAAAGCACCAGCATCATCCATGAAGAACATGTCGGCACACGGTTGGTTCCCCTGGGCACGGTAAAGAGTGGCGGTCTGCATGTCCGCAACAATGGCAGGGTCGAGGCTCGTGTTCTCTTGGAAGATGTAGCCGGGCTGAACGTCTTTGCGCTGAAAGGGAACCAACAGCTCATCAAAATTCAGCCATCTGAGTTTGTACGACCTGCAAGCCAGCACCCAAAGATAAGCGTACTCCAGTATCTTCCGAGCTGTTACTGCTCATGGACTCGTTGTCAGCGCTTGTCTGAAGATTTTTTGACAAGAAACATGTAGCATATTGGCAGGACTAAGTGAGTCATCGTCTCCGTCACGAAGTAGAACTTCCAACGGTGCCGTGTGTCCTCCAGTGCCACCACCTGCCGGAAGCTCCTCTCTTCAACTCTATCGTTTGCTTTGATGCCACAGAGCAGGTCGACTAGGCTGGTCTGCTCTTCTGCCGAATCATCCATCCACTTCTTGTTGCAATCCTGGATGCATTGCTCAAGCCCTTGGGCATCGTTGTCGGCATTCCGTAGAGTCTGATTGAGGTGCTTCAAGAACTGGTCAATCTTGCTGGATTCAAAGCGCAAACCGGCAAGGAGGAGTTTCTGCAAGGCAAGCCCGAGTGGGACGCAGAATGTTGCCACCCGAAGCTGAATAGCCTCATTCTCCACGATGCCTTCCATGGGCACTCCACGTCTGGAAGCAAACGTGCGATCTGTCGTCGGCAAGTTTCGGAGGACTTCTGCTGGGGCAGAGGTGGTATGTCGGTGTAGGTCGCCAACACCTGGACACCAGGAAGCTCTGCAATTACTCTCATGGCACCTTGTCGGAAGTGTGGGTCTGGACACATGCACCGGTGCTCGTCTACGTGCACCAACGGGTGAAAGCCTTGCTCCGGATGGCCAACCTTCCCGCGACCTGCTGGCCATTGGCAGCCACCTATGCTGCTAAACACCAAAGGAACTTAGCCCTCAACAACTTGGAAGACAAGGACCTGGTTTTCGGGGCTCCGACACACGTCAAGTTCAAGATGTTCGGCCAAGGGGGGCGATATGATCTCATGGAGCGATGGGAAGAAGGAAAATATGTTGGCTACTCGGAGGATGTGGTGCGGGGCAAAGTGGTGAGACTACCCAGTGGCTCCTACAACACGTCCGTCCACATCCGCCCTCACTTGGTAGATGCTGATGATCTGGTGGAAATGGGCCCGCTGGAGATGGACTTCTGGAGCAGCTTCTTCGTAGTGTTGAAATTCCGCAACGCTGGCTTCCAGTCCTGCAGATATCTGGTGGGTTCGCAGTACAAGTGCAGGAGACGTCGAAGGAAGCGAAAACTTTGCCCAAACGCTTGTGCTTTGAAGCAAGCAGACTTTCCGGAATGGGAGGCTGCTGCGATGTATGCAACTGTTGGTCGTCGCTCGTCTGCAGCTATTCTTGCCGCAAAAGCGTCCAAGTCAGAGTCCCTGACGTAAAGCAGGAGCTGGTACAACTTCAACGGTTTCGAAATCCCACGCTCCCTCACAGGCAAGGATGCTGCGTATGTATCATAGTCCTTCAGCAATCGTAGTCCTTCAGCAAGGGAACTGCATCCACTTGCATGTTATCTTGAAAGCAGTCTTGCAACTTGCGATTGATTCCACCAGGCTGACACCACCACGGTGTTTCACCTGCAGCCATCCTGACAAAGTCTCGACGATGTGGAATGACATGTCTGACATAGGCTCCTGGAGCTACGCCAGAAACCACAGAAAAGGAAGAGCTGACCCGCCAGAGGCGCAGATGCTTCCTTGCGTTACGCTTCATGGCGGCGACATCGCAAATGGCGAAACCTGGTCCAGGTCAGTGTGGACTGCACGCTCAAGTCGAGTAGACACGGCTTGATTTGTGCAAGGTGACTAACTTGCTTGCTGAGTTCATAAGCCTCCATAAAGTGTATTTTTCCAGTTTTATGGGGGGTTATGGTATCCCAAAAAGTGTAAAGTGTACCCGCTCAGCTACTAAGTTAAAATGAAGTAGAAAGCATTTTCGAAGACCTCTAGGATGGTAAGCCGCACGTTGTTGACTTGAACAAAAGCTGGCACGGGGGGTTTAGGGTTGGGGGTTTAGGGTTTAGGGTTTAGGGTTTAGAGTTTAGGGTTATGGTTCTCTGTAGGGCGTTGCCAGCACTCCAACCCACAGCCTTCTACCTACCTTCCTGTCAGCTCAATCACTCCCCGAAACCTTAAACCCTAAATCCTAAATCCTAACCCTAAACCCTAAACCCTAAACATCCTACCAGCGTCCCACCTGAGCACCTGCAGCACCTCCTTTGAACTCCACACCCGCCAGCCGAACTTTCCGACACCGAGACCCTGAACACGAAAGTGGGGGAGTTTAGGGTTTAGGGTTGGGGGTTTGGGGTTTAGGACTTAGGGGAAAGTGTCTTACTGCAAGCAAAGAAGCTGCTGCTTCTACCGCGCTACACCTACAGTTGCAAACGCTCAAGGTTTCCTTAGGGGATAGGATTAGGGGGACCCGCGGGGATATAGACCCTCTGAATACAGTCCCTGTTTAAGAGAGCCAGAAGAAGGTTAAGAAGGGGTTCCCCTTTTGAGGGTCCCCCTTATCCTACCTAGGCTTCCTACTCCGCTACTTGCAGCTGCAACATCCATATACGTATATATATATATATATGTGTATATTCTCTCGCGCGTGTGACTGTCTGTGTATTTCTGGTATTTGGTTCATGTAAAACATCTTTAGATGTGTGTGTGTGTGTGACTATAAACAGTCGGGCTTGTTGTTTCTCTTGTTGGGGGATTAGGACTTCCAGGGATTAGGGATTAGGGTTCTAGACCTAGGGTTTAGGGTTTGGGGTTTAGGATTTTGAGATCTAGGGGTGATGATGAGGATGATTGCTTACGCTTGCAAGGCAACATGGTGTTGGGAAGTCTGCCGAAAGGCTATACATTCTGCCCCCCCAAAACCATATACTCTAAAGCTAAACCCCAATGTCCCAAGCCCCAAACCCTAAAATAAGAGGCCAAACCGTAAGCATTATCTTCAAGGCCTCTTAACCCTAGAACCTCGGAACCACTAAAAACCCCTGAAACCCTAGAACCACTCAAACCCTAACACCCTAAAACCCCTAAAGCCGAAAAAACACCCTAAGAAACCCTAAAAAACCCTCCAAAAGGCCCTCGAAAAGCCCTCCAAAAACCCTGAAAAGCCCCGAAACCCTAACTAAACCCTAAACCCTAAACCCTAAACCCGAAGCCCTTCAAAAGCCCTTCCGTTCGCAGGAGGGCCACTGCTTGCAGCTGTCGCGAACACTTTGGTCCGACCAAGCAACGAGACCTCCAAGGTGTCAGACATTGGCGTCAGAGGGTTTTGATAGTGTTTGTAAGGTTTTTTGTTTTAAACAGGGTTGTTAATTCCCGAAAGCTTCAGCGAAGGGTTCTTCGGAGAGAAAAAAAAAACGTTCGCCCAAGCACACCAGCCTTACCATCACCACACTACCACCACCACACTACCATCACCACACTACCATCACCACACACTTCCATCACCACACTACCACCACCACACTACCATCACCACAGTACCATCTCGGCTGCATCGCTTCTGTACGCTGTCTATTAAATTCTCTCTTATTTCTTAGGCTGGGGTGGGTTTCGCGATGTACCCCTCTGCGGAGATCGTGCATGTCGGAGCGCTCCCGCTGTGTGTTTTTGCGTATTCTTGAGTGGCCTGTCGCACCCTCTGCGAGGATCGTGCGTGTCGGAGAGCTCCCGCTGTGCGTTTTCGCACATTTTGGATCTTACGCGTACACCCTCTGCGGGGATTCGACTTTTGCAGCACAGACGTAGTACGCCGGGGACGCCCGGAGCTTCCGTGGCTGGAAAGTCGACTTTTGTAGTACAAACGTAGTACGCCGCGGATGCCCGGAGCTTCCGTGGCTCCAAAACCTTCACAAATACCATGGTCCCCGAATTCGCTGTTTCCAAAAACCTTCGCAAATACCATGGTCCCCGAATTCCCTGGTTCCAAAACCTTCACAAATACCTTGGTCCCCGAATTCGCTGTTTCCAAAACCTTTGCAAATACCACGGTCCCTGAATTCCCTGGTTCCAAAACCTTTGCAAATACCATGGTCCCCGAATTTCTTGTTTCCAAAACCTTCACAAATACCATGGTCCCCGAATTCGCTGTTTCCAAAACCTTCGCAAATACCATGGTCGCCGAATTCGCTGCTTCCAAAACCATCGCAAATACCATGGTCCTCTAATTCGTTGTTTCCAAAACCATCGCAAATACCATGGTCCCCGAATTCGCTGGTTCCACAACCATCGCAAATACCATGGTCCCCGAATTCGCTGGTTCCAAAACCATCGCAAATACCATGGTCACAGATTTGGCAAATCACATGGTGCTCCAATGCCGGGCGGTCGAAAACATCGTTATTGCATGGTTGTTTAATTCCCGGCGTGCGAAAACATCGCAAAATACATGTCTGAAAATGCCAAGTATACCGCCACACTATCATTACCACATTACCATCACCCCACTACCATCACCTCAGCTACACCGCTTCTCTACCCTATTAAATTCCATGTTCTTTCCGTTTCGCGCTCTTTCTGACGTCGATATCGCATTGAGACTACACTACCGATCTACTTCACTTCTAACTTACTACACCACACCACGGCACCACGATCACCGCACTGACAACACAACCAACTATACGTGTCAGTTGAAATCTTCGCACGGACTGCTTTCGGGATAATCGGTGTCTAGTAGGGTTTTGCATAGTTTTTTTCATAGGGGTTTATAGGGCTTTATATAGGTTTGTTTTTGAAAGGGCTTGTGTACATAGGGTTTTTTGTAGGCATTTAAAGGGCGTTGTAGGGTTTATACTAGAGTTTTAGAGGGTTTCTTGGGTGCATGGGGGGTTTAGGATTTAGGGTTCAGGATGTCGGGCTTGGGCGTACAGGGCAAAAAGACAACAAATATTCTGCCTTAGACGGGTAATTAATTTGGGGATTGTTATCTCTCAACTTCTGGAGGGTCTTAAGCAAATAGTAGCAATCCGAGCGCATCACATGCCCTAAATTCTAGAACCCAAAAGCCACCCCAAAACCTACAACCTAACAACTCTAAGACCCCTCAATCCCCCGCAAACCCCTACAACCCGAAGCCTTGGGATGTTCACCCTTATACTAACAGTCCCTTGTAGGGAGTATAGTACCCTTAACGGAGAGTATAGCACCCCCAATCACAATCCCTATTAAGGACTGTTCGTATGAGGGGGAACATCCCAACCTAACCCCGAACCCTAAACCCTGAACTCCAAACCCTAAACCCCAAACCGGAGGTGCGAGGCCTTTCCGCCAGAAGAGGAGGTGGTTCTTCGCGTACATTGGAGGCTTTTGCCCGCTCGGCAGCAAGGGCACGCCCTGCTCTAGGGTTTAGGGTTTAGGGCTTAGGGTTTAGGGTTGAGGGTTTAGGATTTAGCGGTTAGGAATTAGGGGGAGGTTCATGTTTGGGTTTAGGGTATATAAGGGTTTAGAGGTCCCTAAACCCTAAACCCTAATAGGGTTTAGGGTTTAGGGTCTAGGGGTTCTGGAGCTTGGTACTGAGCACGGGCTGGCAGCGTTTGCTTTAAATGCCCTGAAACGCTGTGGTTTAGGGTTTAGGGTTTAGGGTTTAGGGTTTAGGGTTTAGGGTTTTCTGTTTTCGGTTTAGGGTTTAGGGTTTAGGGTTTATGCTTAAAAGCCTCATAAGTCTACATTCGCTAGACACCCTACACCCCTACACCTTGAACCCTGCATCCATGCAGCTTATGACAGTAAACCGTCAAACCCCATTTAACCTCAAACCTCTTTAAACCCCTTTAACCCCTCAACCCTCGAACCCTAAATCCCGCACATCCCCTTAAGGACTGAGGGCCCTTCATATATGCTTTGAGGGATTATATAGGGTACCTCGTCCCCTCATTCCCTAGTAAGAGCCAGCCACATAAACCCCAAACCCTAAACCCTAAGCCCTAAACCCTAAACCCTAAACCCTAAACCCTAAACCCTAAACCCTAAACCCTAAACCCTAAACCAATATCTTGCAAGGCTCGCATGCGCCTGAGTGTCGAAAATAGCGTCAGTGTCCGGGATGCCTAGCAACGCGAAGATGCTACCAGGGGAGAAGGCAAAGGCTCTGATCCTGAAACTCTCCACCGCACAATGTGGAAAACCCTGAACCCTAAACCCTAAACTGTAAACACTAAAACCCTAAACCCTAAACCCTAAACCCCAAACCCTCAATCCTAAACCCTAAACCCTAAACCCTAAACCCCTAAGAGCCCCCTTTTGCTCTCGAGCTGTGGGTGCCGGTGCCCAGTCGGCCCTTCCGGCTTCTGGCTTGCCGCACGAGACACCTGGATCGGCTGTTGCCGCAAGGTCCTGCGCTGCCATGCCATATAGGGTTTAGGGTGTTGGGTTTAGGGTTTAGGGTTTCGGGTTTCAGGCTTCGGGTTTAGGGAATGAACACTTTCAGAACTTCATGCCATTGTACCCCCACGGTGGAGCGCAAAAGCAGCCAAATCCCCAAGCGCTTGGCAAGTCGCAAATCCTAAGCCCTTAACCCCCAAACCCACCCAAAACACCTAAACCCCTAAACCCCTAAAACCCAAAAACCCAAAAACCCAAAACCCCTAAACCCCTAAACCCCCCCCTAAACCCCTAAACCCCTCATCCCTACCCAACCAAAACCACAAACAACTGACGAAAAATAGCGGCGTCCTGGAGGCTGCGGTCAGACTGTGTCAGCCGCCAGCCTTCAATGTCAGGGTTCAGGGTTTAGGGTTTATGTAGGGTCGGGGTTTATGACAGGTGTTTCTAGGTGCCCCACCCTAGACCCTAGACCCTATTTCCTGAACCCTGCTACTGCGACTGCTACTCCTACTGCTACTGCTACTCCTCCTACTATTCATGAGAACAATGATCATAATCACAACCATAATCATGTTCATAATCACAATAATGCTGATGATAGTAACAACAACAATAATAATGCTAATAACGTAATAATAATAACAATAATCATAACAACAACACCAATAATAATAAAAAAATATATTTATAATACTCTAACAGAACAATGATAAGAGGAAGATGGAACAGCAGCGATAAGAGCAAGAAAAGAACAAGAGTCATAGCCACAAGAATAAACAAAAAGGTTACTACTAGCAAAAACAACACTTGCACTTTATCATCAAGAAGATCATGCGTTGGCTACAGAGCTCCTAAGAACCCAGACTTACGTACCTGGAAGTATAGCGCATAGATCAGGCAAGCAGCCCACGAAGAGACGGAAAGAGTCCTCCGCAACGGTTTCGCGGGGAACCTTGCAGAGGACTGTAGGGTCCTATCTCTTGGGGGCGACCACTCGCACCCTATAGTTGGAACCACAGACCCTATGCTACTACAATCCTTATTGCGTGTGCTCTGAGCCATAATTAAACCTGTTAAGGCTTCCTGAATGGCTCCAGGGTAAGGGAAGTCAGCCAACTTAAAGTGTAGCTTAAAGTGTAGACCGCATTTGCCCTAGATGCTTGACTAGGGTTCAGGGTGTAGGGTTTAGGGTTGAGGGTTAGGGAAAAGGGTTTAGGGTCCAGGGTTCAGGGTTTAAAGCCCCCCCCTAACTTAACTGGGGTTTAGGAGCATTTTAGGGCTGAGGGTTTAGGGGGTTTTGGGGATTCATTGGGAGTCGGCCAATTATGCAAGAAACCCTATCAATCCGCAAGAAAAAGCTTTGAGAAGAACTCCCTGAATAACAAAACCCTGCGAAATCAGTAAACTTAGCTGCCCTAAACCCTCAACCCTCAACCCTCAACCCTAAACCCTAAACCCTAAACCCTATACCTCAACCTTAAACCCTAAATTCTGTTTCCTTGGATCCCAAACCTCGGACCCCAAACTCCTCGGCGATCGCGGGCCTCGTGCAGGATGTCTTGGTAGAACACGACCAAACCGCCGGGCTCCACTTCCTGGGCTCAAAGGGCGTAGGGTTTAGGGCTTAGGGTTTAGGATTTCTCAAACCCTAAACCCTAAACCCTAAACCCTAAACCTCAGACTTTGGCACTCAACCAGCGGGGCGTCGACTCGGTGCATCTTCTGATTGCCGCGCTCTTCGCGGCAGAAGCCTTGCAACTTGCGGCACAGGGATGGATCCGCAGTCGGAATGTGGTAGGGTCTAGGGTCTAGGGTCTAGGGTCTAGGGTCTAGGGTTTAGGGTTTAGGGTTTAGGGTTTAGGGTTTAGGGTTTAGGGTTTAGGGTTTAGGGTTTAGGGTTTAGGGTTTAGGGTTTAGGGTTTAGGGTCTTTTCCTGAAGTCGGGGGTGTGGGCTCCCCCTTTATCACGCTAGAACTTGCAGCTTCGGCTGAAGTTGGCAGCCACTCCTCTTCACCCTAAGCTCGAGGTTTAGGATCTAGGTTTTAGGGTTTAGGGTGTAGGGTTTAGGGTTTGGGTTTAGGGTTTAGGGGGCTTCTAACGCCTACATCCCCCCACGTAGGAACCAACTAGAACCGAAACCCTCTACAGTCCGGGCCTGAAACTGAAACTCAGAGAAGCCACACTGCTGTGAACTTTGCGGAGCTTCCACCCCACGTCTGTGAACTAACTGCCGAGGTGCTTGCGGCTGCGCCCTCCCGCAGCCCCAAGCCCTAAAGCCCTAAAGCCCTGAACCCCAAACCCCAAACCACTGAAGCCTAAATCCCTAAACCCTAAACCCGAATCCCTAATCCCCTAGACCCTAAACCTAAGCCCTAAGCCCTAAACCCTAACCCTAAACCCTAAACCTGAAACCCTGAACCGGAGAGTTTCACCAGGTAGCCGTGCCGGCCATGGTGGTTCTGCCGATGGCTCCTGGGGAACTCAGGTGTGTCGCGTACGTACCAGATCTTAAGGAGCGATGAGGGAAGTTTTCAGGGTTTGGGGTTTAGGGTTTAGGGTTTAGGGGTATTGGCTGCTTGGGGACCCCGGCGCCTACATAGTAGGTGTTTGGAGGCTCAGGCTCTAGTGACTAGAACTAGACATTAGGGTCTGCAGGGTTTAGGAAAACCCTAAACCCCAAATCCGAAACCCTAGACCCTAAGCCCTAAACCCTAAACCCTAAATCCTAAATCCTAAACCCTAAACTCTACTCAGGGGTCTTCTTTGCAGGCCAGCCACCTCGGGACACAGTGGAAGAACTGCGCGCGGCAGTCCTGGGAAAGGTATTTTGAGCAAGCTTTGGCTGCCACCCTCCCCCCCCTCCCCCCAAACCCCAAACCCCAGACCCTAAACCCTAAACCCTAAACCCTAAACCCTAAACTCTCCACCCTGAACCCGAAACTCTCAACCCTAAACCTAGGGTTGGTGATTGCGACCAGCTAGGTTTACCAAAAACCCTAAAACCCTGAACCCTAAACCCTAAACCCTAAACCCTAAACCCTAAACCTCATGTCCACAGATGGCCAAATAAAATGATGGGGGCTTGCACCTGCCACGCTGACGTGCATCCCACATCCTCAGCCCTTGGCCCTGGTTCCGAATCCCCATACCCCTGGCAGTAAACTCCAGAAAGTTGGCGCGGCCTAAACCCTAAACCCTAAACCCCAAACCCTAAACCCCAAACCCTAAACCCTAAAGCCAACAGTAAACTCCAGAAAGTTGGAGCTTAAGGATGAGTAGAGCTGGGATTCCCTTGAGCTTTCCTTTTGGGTATGGGGATTAGGATGTTCCAACTTTTGGGGTTTACGGAATTTGCCCAGGAACCTTAAGACCTAAGCCTCAACATCAAGGGATTAGACTCGTACCGCGAAGGTTGTACCCCTTGAGTTAAGGTTCCCTAAAAATTCTCCTCATGTGGCCCTTATATTCTTTGAGCGGATCTTTAAAAGGGTCCCCAAACCCAAGGGTACAACCTTAGGGGTACAAGGCAGAACCCCATGACAATAGACTTAGAGACAACGAGCTGGTGTTGGGTTTGGGCTCTCAAGGGTTCATGTGTTACAGGGTTTGCGGGCCCAGGGTTTACGCAACTACATTTAGCGTCCCAACAGCCTAAGCCCTCAACACGAATTTGGAGGGGCCCATGGGGCTGCATCGGATGAGGAGCTATATAAGATTGTGGAGATGGCAGAGCCTGAGATCTGGGGTTTAGGGTTTCGCGTTTAGGGTTTGGGGTTTAGGGTTTAGGTCTTGGAGTTTAGGGTTTAGGGTTTAGGGTTTAGGGTTTAGGGTTTAGGGTTTAGGGTTTCGGGGGAGCGGTCCAGATTCAACCAGCCGCCGAAGATCTTGTCTGAGTCCAGCTTGTACTTGGCGATGTCTCCTTGAGGCTGAGGTTTAGGGTTTAGGGTTTAGGGCTTAGGGTTTAGGGTTTAGGGTTTAGGGTTTAGGGTTTAGGGTTTAAGGTTAGGGTTTAGGGTTTAGGGTTAAAAACCCCAAACCCTGCACTCCTTAAGCCCTACCTTCAACTTGGGGATTTTCGGTGGGGGGCCGTCCGATGCAGCCAAGGCACTGTGTACAGTTTCCCTGCTCATCTTGTCTCCTGCGCAGATCTCAGGGCTCAGCCTAAACCCTAAACCCTAAACCCTAAATCCTAAACCCTAAACCCTAAATGCCCTCAACCCCGAAAGCCCGGAACCCTGAAACTTCTCACAAAGCTTCGGGCAAAGAACCGCGGACCTCTGAAGCAAGCACTGTGCCCCAAGAAACCTTTCAACCCTTAACCACCCGAAGCTGGCCGACGACGGAGCCCTAGGCACCAAACCCTTAACCTTGAAGTACGTTTAGGGGTTAATTAGGGTTTGGGGTTAGGGTTAGGTCGGAAGGACCATGATGCAGTTCCCAACGTCTGGTCTCATCCGCGTGCACGTCACGTCCACAGCCATGACAAAAAAACAGCCCGAGGCCCTACACACTCTCGGCCCTAAACCCTAAACCCTAAACCCTAAACCCGAGGCCCCCGACATCGAACTCGCCCCGCCTTGCTTCCGAACGCAGAGCCCTTAGCTGCAGCAACCGAAGCCGCTGATTGAGATGGGGTTTAGGGTTCAGGGGTTTAGGGCTTAGGGTTTAGGGTCTTCAACCCGAACTATAAGCCCCTAAACCTTAAACCCTCGGGTGCCCAGTTTGAAGTTATGGGGAGCGCAGTAGCCCAGGGACGCCAACCCAATGCTTTCCCACACCCGTGATTGACTGGAGAGCACGCACTTTGAAGGACTTCCCTCAACCCTTTATAAACCCTAAACCCTAAAACCTAAACCCTAAACGCTAAACCCCAAAACGGCCACAAGTTGTTCTTCGTAGCGGACTTTCCGTTTTGTCGTGCAGGGGCCTTAGAGGTCAACACCAGCGGCTTACGGTTCAGCCCTCATCCAAGTGCGGCCACTGCAACAACAGGACTGTTTAGGGCGCGCGCCCCAAACTTGTAATCCCTAAGCCCTAAGCAAATCGTAAACCCTAAAACCCTAAAACCCCAAACCCCAAACCCTAAAAGCCCAAAACCTAAAACCCCCCACCCCAAAAACCCAAAAACCCGAAAACCCCAGAACCCCAAACCCTAATCTGCTGCAAGGTGCGATCCCACAGCAGCTCCAGTCGCCACGACTCACTCTCGGCAAAGCGCTGCCTAGCTAAAGGGTTTTGTGGGTTTGGGTCTGAGGGTTTAGGGTTGGTGAGGGCTTATAGGGCTTAGGGTCGAGGCGTTAGGGCTTTGGGCCTTAGGTTTATGGTTGAGGGTTGAGGGATCAGGGTTGAGGCATTAGGGTGTAGGATACTGGCTTTCGTTCACAGGGTGTAGGTCTTAAAGTTTACATACTGAGGCTCATAGGGTTTACCCTAAACCCTAAACCCTAAACCCTAAACCCTAAACCCTCATGTACTGGGACTTAGGTTATTAGACTTCCAGTCGCAGGAAAAAATCTATGGGTTATGTGGCAATGGGCTTCTAGGGCCCGCAGTTTTGTTTTTCAGATATGTATGATGTATATCTATAGATATAGATATAAATATATCTATAGATATACCTATAGATATAGATATAGATATAGATATAGATATAGATATAGATATAGATATAGATATAGATATAGATATAGAAACGGAAATATAATTTCAACTCAACCCTAGTAAGCCCGCCTCAGCCCTACTTTACCCCCCTATTGATAGGTTCTTCTGAAACTGTTTCAGGCTACAGGTATGGTAGGGCTTTGGGGTGGCCTGATAACCTTGAGACAAACCGTTGATGATGAAGGCTTGCGGGTAGGTCCGGACTCTTTTAGGAAGCAGTTCTGGGGCGGGCGGAAGGCGTTTTTTTGTCAACAAGGAATGAACAGGTAGGGTATTGTTTCGTGTTGAACTGTAGCATTCGCATGCTGCTGTTGTGCACTTGGGGGGGGGAGGGGTTACGAATATACGGTACCCCTAATATAGACCCCCAAATACTAGGCGTCCCTTATAGTAAGGACCCCCCATAAGGTACCCGTATTGTCTGAATCCCCAACAAAGCCGAGACGCACGTAGTTTCGGAACACGCCCAATGCAGCCTCGAAGCAGCGCCACCTGAAAGAAATCGATCCCTCAACCCTCAATTCCAAAAGCTTTTGTCTGCCACCCTCAGCCTAAATGCCTAAATCCCTACACAGGGGTTTCCGAAAATAGGGGACCCTTTTTGGGGGTAGCCCAAAAAGTGATACACCATGTGAGCCCAGCGGTCCAAAAGCCATGACAACTTCGCATTTCCCCAGCCAAGACGTCCAGAAAAAAACGACGACGGTTTCACGCCTGCGGCGAACACCGACGTCCAACAACAAGGCTTCGCGTTTGGGTTTAGGGTTTAGGGTTTAGGGTTTAGGGTTTAGGGTTTAGGGTTTAGGGTTTAGGGTTTAGGGTTTAGGGTTTAGGGTTTAGGGTTTAGGGTTTAGGGTTTAGGCTTTAGGGTTTAGGGTTTAGGGTTCAGGGTTCAGGGTTTGGGGTTTGGGGGTTAGGGTTTAGGGTTTAGGGTTTAGGGTTTAGGGGGTCCAAAAGGTGATGACAGCTTCGAAGAGATCGAGTCACACTCACGCCAGGCGAGAGCCCCAAAATGCGAGCATACTCCGAGTTAAACGCATGGGAACCCCTCAGTGCTGACACACTGTTCGGGGAATAGAACTTGGGATGTTCCCCCCTTATACGAACAGTCCTTACAAGGGATTAAGGCACCCCCGATTATAATCCCGACTATTGACTGTTAGTATAAGGGGGAGCATCCCAAAATGGAGCCCTAAACCTACCAGAAACGCATGTGCCGGGAGGGCGCCAAGTGTGGGGTTTGGCAACATTGGGCTTTAGAGTTTTAGGGTTTTAGGGTTTTAGGGTTTAGGGATTTAGGGTTTAGGATTTAGGGTTTAGGGTTTAGGGTTTAGGGTTAACCATCAAAGAAAGGATCCACTACGCGAAGTCGGAGCCCAAGTTTCTGGTCTTAGAATGGGTTTAGGTTGGCAAACACGCGAATTACACCTTAAACAACAGATACAAAGCCACCAAGCCCTAAACCCAAAACCCAAAACCCTAAACCCAAAACCTTAAACCCTAAACCCTAAACCCTAAACCCTAAACCCTAAACTCAAACGTTGCGGAGACTGCTGGGCTCGCCGCCGACACCGCCGCACACAGGGATGGTGAAAGGATGCCGGGTTTCCTGTGCGCAAGGAGGGTTTAGGGCTTAGTTTAGGGTCTAGGGTTTAGGATTTAGTTTAGGGTTTAGGGTTTAGGGTTTAGGGTTTAGGGTTTAGGGTTTAGGGTTTAGGGTTTAGGGTTTAGGGTTTAGGACTTAGGACTTAGCTTATTTAGGGTTTAGGGTTTAGGGTTGAACCCCTCTGGAGCCATAGGCTTCAGGGGCACGTGGCTAGGATCTGAAGAAGTTCGAGAGGGTTAGGGTTTAGGGTTTAGGGTTTAGGGTTTAGGGTTTAGGGTTTAGGGTTTAGGGTTTAGGGTTTAGGGTTTAGGGTTTAGGGTTTAGGGTTTAGGGTTTAGGGTTTAGGGTTAGGGTTTAGGGGTTAGGGTTTAGGGTTTAGGGTTTAGGGTTTAGGGTTCAGGGTTCAGGGTGACCTAAGGTAGCCACTATTGAGGTTTGGGGGATTCCGTGTGTAGGAGTTTGCGGTTTAGTGGGTTCAAAGGCTGAGCAGGTGCATCTTGAAACCAAGAAGACAGGTATACGCGCTTCTTTTCAATTTAGGGTTTAGGGTTTAGGGTTTAGGGTTTGGGGTTTAGGGTTTAGGGTTTAGGGTTTAGGGTTTAGGGTTTGGGGTTTGGGGTTTGGGGTTTGGGGTTTGGGGTTTGGGGTTTGGGGTTTGGGGTTTGGGGTTTGGGGTTTTAGGGCGTCCGGTGGATCGGTTTGCGGTAGGGAAGGTGTGGTGTAGGGTTTAGGGTTTAGGGTTTAGGGTTTAGGGTTTAGGGTTTAGGGTTTAGGGTTTAGGGTTTAGGGTTCAGGGTTTAGCCCTCTATGCTCTCGATGCCCGAAGCACTAACTCCCTATGGGCCAGGGGGAAGTTACTGGGGTGAGTTCTCTGAACTGCTGTTCCCGTTCCTTGAAAAAAGTACAGATGCCAAGTCTGTTGAAAACTAAGTCCGAATTCGTGAGATGAACCTGCGTCCCAACTGCCGAACCCAAAAGCTGCATCGCAACGGATACAAAAAGCTAAACCCTAAACCCTAAACCCTGAACCCTGAACCCTAAACCCTGAACCCTGAACCCTGAACCCTAAACCCTAAACCCTAATTTCGAGAGCCCACCATGTCGAGTGGCCCAGAGCTCCGAAGCTACCGAGCACCAGCCGGTCAGCCCCTGCATTTCAGGGGAGGTACCCCTAAACCCTAAACCCTAAACCCTAAACAACCCTATACCCTAAACAACCCTATACCCTACCCCCTAAACCCTGGGTGATGATTGTATTGAAAGGATCCAGCTCCTAAAAAGCGTTAAACGAAGCCAAACAACAACAGACTGAGCCCCAAGCCCTACAAAAACCCTAGCCCCCCCCCCCCCCCCCCGGGTACAAAAGACAACATTTCGTACCTTCAAAACCTGTTTCTCAGGGACATGGCCTACTGGAAGCCCTAAATCCCAAGCCGAGGGATAGCCAGTTCGTCCAAACTGCAGGTTTCCTTCCAGCAGATGGCTGCTTATGTTCAAGGTACCCAAACAAGAATGAGAAAGCTCCGACCCGTTGCATACATAGAATACCTAATATGTGAGGGCTAGAGTAATTTAGGGACTCGGGTTGCGCCACATGAGAAGGGGACGACGGTGGCTATAGCCTTCATCGACCTGATGAGACGACGAACTCTTGCGGCTGTGGGCCTTTCTGGAACTCTGGAAACCTCGGCGTCGGCGTGGTTAGAGATCAGGTTTGGGGCTTAGGGTGTAGGTTCACGGCTCATCCGTTCACAAAGCCAAAGCCCCCTATACCCCTTAGCTGGGCTAATTTTCAGAAACTTGAAACAAGCAAAATCCACACATATATATATATATGCTCATATATATATATATATATCTATATTATATATCTATAGATTGCTTAATTAAATATACATATATATATATATTATGTAAAATAATGAATCCTGTTTACAAATCAGCATCGACAATTCTGTTGTTCTCATGATCGACTCGAAACTTCGGTAAGGGTGGGCTCTGGGGGTTTAGGGTTTAGGGTTTAGGGTTTAGGGTTTAGGGTTTAGGGTGAAGATCACGGCTCGGACGGGGTGAGGGTAGGGGTCTGGGGGTTGTGGTTTTAGGGGTCAGGGCTTAACCCTAAACCCTGAACCCTGAACCCTAACCCCTAAACCCTAAACCCCCTAAACCCTAAACTCTATGATACTGAAGCGGAATTCGGGGCCCGCTACTGATCAAGTGCCCGTGGAGCCGACAAACTCTCATCACTCGGCTCTACAGCCGTCCAGGTCCCTAAACCCTCTAAACAGGTTTAGGGTTTAGGGTTTAGGGTTTGGGGTTTGGGGTTTAGGGCCCTACATCCGAGACTCTTACCTTAAGCCATGAAGCGATGCCATCGCCGCTCGGAGCTGGCGACGGATGCACATCACCTGGGGGTTAGGGTTTAGGGCAATGCAGGGTCTAGGGTTTAGGGTTTAGGGTGTAGCACCGGTCAGCTGGACGCGATAGTTTGAAGACATGCCCACCCCAAGGCCACCGAATCACAACTCACGGCAAAACCAAGCCGGAGCCAGCCAAAACCAGCCAGCCATTCAACATTTTTCTGCGTCGGATTAGCTACATGGCGAAAGTGTGGCTATGAAATGAGGCTTTATGAAAAACATGCCCAGAAGCTTGTGTTCAGGACATGTAAAGAAACTGCAGCCAAAAAAATTTTGGTTTTGCGTTGGGGGAGTCTTCGGCCGGAGGGCCTTCTCATTGTTTTCTTTTTTCTCTATGTCGGATTGTCGAGCGGTTTTTTTTTCGAAGCTTTGCGCAACATAGTCAGAAGTTTCCGAGTTAAAGGCTCAGAAATGGTCTGGGAGAAGCCAAAAGAAACTCAGAAATGGTCTGGGGCAGCCCAGAATCCCGGACAAAAAAAGGCTCAGAAACTGTCCGGGAGGAACCCCAAAAAAGGCTCAGAAACTGTCCGGGAGGAGCCAAAAAGGCCCAGAAACTGTCCGGGAGGAGCCCCAAAAAGGCTCAGAAACTGTCCGGGAGGAGCCCCAAAAAGGCTCAGAAACTGTCCGGGAGGAGCCGCAAAAAGGCTCAGAAACTGTCCGGGAGGAGCCCCAAAAAAGGCTCAGAAACTGTCCGGGAGGAGCCCAAAAAGGCCCAGAAACTGTCCGGGAGGAGCCCCAAAAAGGCTCAGAAACTGTCCGGGAGGAGCCCCAAAAAGGCTCAGAAACTGTCCGGGAGGAGCCCCAAAAAGGCTCAGAAACTGTCCGGGAGGAGCCGCAAAAAGGCTCAGAAACTGTCCGGGAGGAGCCCCAAAAAAGGCTCAGAAACTGTCCGGGAGGAGCCCAAAAAGGCCCAGAAACTGTCCGGGAGGAGCCCCAAAAAGGCTCAGAAACTGTCCGGGAGGAGCCCCAAAAAGGCTCAGAAACTGTCCGGGAGGAGCCCCAAAAAGGCTCAGAAACTGTCCGGGAGGAGCCCCAAAAAGGCTCAGAAACTGTCCGGGGGGAGCCCCAAAAAGGCTCAGAAACTGTCCGGGAGGGGCCCCAAAAAAGGCTCAGAAACTGTCCGGGAGGAGCCCAAAAAGGCCCAGAAACTGTCCGGGAGGAGCCCCAAAAAGGCTCAGAAACTGTCCGGGAGGAGCCCCAAAAAGGCTCAGAAACTGTCCGGGAGGAGCCCCAAAAAAGGCTCAGAAACTGTCCGGGAGGAGCCCAAAAAGGCCCAGAAACTGTCCGGGAGGAGCCCCAAAAAGGCTCAGAAACTGTCCGGGAGGAGCCCCAAACAAGGCTCAGAAACTGTCCGGGAGGTCAGAAACTGTCCGGGAGGAGCCCCAAAAAGGCTCAGAAACTGTCCGGAACTTTTTTCTACTTTTGTTTTGTTGTCTCTCTCTCTCTCTCTCCCTTTCTCGCTCGCTCTCGCTCGCTCTCGCGCTCGCTCTCGCACTCGCACTCGCGCTCGCTCTCGCACTCGCACTCGCGCTCGCTCTCGCTCTCTCTTTCTTTGTTTTTTTTTTTTTTTTTTCTCTCTCTCTCTCTCTCTCTTTCTCCTTGCCTGTCTTTCTCTTTCAGGGGGTTTCGGGCGGGGCCCTGCACTGGGCGCGCCCGTGTTCTGGTACGCAGCGGCTCTGGAAACGGTTTGGCGCAGGACGTAGCTCATGCTCACCCCGAAGATTGCATGATGATGTTGAACTTTGAGGGACTTCGCAGCGCAGAAGTGCATCTCTCACCCCCCCCCCAAATCCTTGCAGAACCTCTACACCTTAACTGCGTGACAACAATACACAACCTGTTTTTGTTGTTTCGTCTCCTCGGTACAAAAGCATTAGGGCACTTAATAAGCACACTCAAGATACCCTGAGCTTGAAAATGACAGACAACCCTAAACCCTAAACCCTAAACCCTAAACCCTTAACGCTTAATTGCTTGTCCAGCAGACGTCTGCACCCAGCACCGGCAGCACCAGCACGCCATCAGAGGAGAGGGAACTGGCAGGATGGAGGCTTCCGGCTGAAAAGGGTTTAGGGTTTAGGGTTTATAGGGTTTAGGGTTTAGGGTTCAGGGTTTAGGGTTTAGGGTTTAGGGTTTAGGGTTTAGGGTTTAGGGTTTAGGGTTTAGGGTTTAGGGTTTAGGGTTTTGTTGAAAGGCTCTACTGGGGCCAGCTCCTGTTGCTGGGGGGTTTGAAAACTCAGGGAAATGCATGCCTTCTTAGACCGTAGCAACCCGGGTCTCTCAACCCTAAACCCTAAACCCTACACCCTAAACCCTAAAATTGCAGGATCACCCTGGAGACTAATATGGGAACACCAAACATCGAGAGCATGGAAAGAATTGGGAGGGGGGGGGGGGGGGGTCCCTCTTGAAACCTCAACCCTAAACCCTCAAACCCTGTCTCCTTGTCCTAAATCCTAAACCCTAAACCCTAAACCCTAGCCCTAAACCCCAAACCCTTGTTCACTCAGCTGCCTGGAAACCTCGGAACCGCACATTCGCGAGAGTCGAAAGCAGCTGCGCTTGAAAATACATGGGCAGTTCGGTCATGGGGGGGGCGTGTATCCTAAACCTGAATTGAATCCGAAACCCTATGGCCTCTTTTGGGGCTCTGGTTTAGGGTTTAGGGCTTGGGGTTTAGGGTTCACCTTAATCGAGTTTCATAGGCAGTCTACGAAAGGCTCTGACCTTACCGTCACAAACACCAATCCCCTGGATTGGGTCTCCTGAAAATCGGGTTTCCCCCTGAAGCAGAGTCGAATCCACCTCGCACGTTCCAAAACAAAGGCTGGGCCCGACAGACCTTCCGGGCTTAGGGTTTCAAATTTAGGGTTTGACCCTGAACCCCCTAAACCCTAAACCCTAAACCCTAAACCCTCAAGGGAGGAAGGATGGCCTCGGCTTGAAGATCGCCGGAGACGGCTTCGACGTCGCCCGGCCGCCCATGGCGATGCGGGCTTGGAGCCCTTAACCCAAACTTAGAGCTACCTGTGCTGTTCTTCTTGATTTTGAGGGGTTTAGGGTTTAGGGTTTAGGGTTTAGGGTTTAGGGTTTAGGGTTTAGGGTTTAGGGTTTAGGGTTTAGGGGGGGAACGGGTGGGACGCATGGCCTTATCCTTTGTGCCTAAGAGGTTGTGACCGTAAAGGCGGAACCATGAACTCCGCAAAACTTGTAGGGCGTCTCGAGGCTTAAGCCCTGAACCCTAAACTCCTATAGCCTACGTTAACCCTCGCCTTGCATAGGGGTTTAGGGTTTCGGGTTTAGGGTTTAGGGCTTAAGGCTTAGGGCCCAATAACGTGGGCACGAGAGCCCCTCAGGATCTCGTAGTCAGGTCCCGAGTCCCTGGGAAAATAAGGCACGGACCCCTGCTCTTAAGCCCCAAACCCTGTACTAGCTTGCCGGGCACGGCAAAGTGTTGAGCAGCTTGGGTGCGTTGAAGTTCACGGTCGAGCGCGGCTCTAGGGTTTAGGGTTAAGGGTTTAGAGTTCATAAGGTGTTGAGGTTTCGGACTTGCGGTTCATGGTTTGAGGGTTTGAGGGTTTGGGATCTGTGATGGGCATGGGCAGTGAGAAGGAAGGATGCGCAGGGTTACAAGACCACTAGAAGTTCGTTCCCCCGGGTAGCCTTCGTGTGAAATTCGGTGAATAAGGCCCGCATGTCCCTAAACCCCAGACCCTAAACCCTAAGCTCTAAACCCCAAACCCTCAACCCTCAACCCTCAACCCTCAACCCCATTCAACAGTCTCAACCCTGCAAACCCTATAAACTCTCCGCGTGGCGTTACCCCCCAGAGGCCCAGGCAGTTGGTCTTCCAAAGCTTCCGACCTCCGCAAGCTGAATAGACTGAAGCCCTATAAACCCTAAACCCTAAACCCTGAAGCGGGTGTTGGGGTTTAGGGTTGATTACAGGGTCTAGGATTAAACAGAGTTTCGGGATTACCCTGCAAAATCTGCCCAAAGAAGGGTACCCCCAAGATTTTGGGACATAGGCTTGGGTGTTTCGGGTTTGGGGCGTTTACCCCAAGCCTGAAATCAGCCAACCCTCTACCCTTAAAGCCGCCTGAGCCCTAAACCCTAAACCCTGAACAACAAACCCTAAACCCTAAGCCCTGACCCTAAACCCTACAGAGACTTTGCTAAGTCACCGTACGTTGCCCCTACGGCTCCCCTGGTTAACCAGCTCGAGTTCGGAGATGTGCGTACGATCTTTAATAGTGCCAGACGTCTTCACCGTCAAAGGCCTGGCCAGTGAATTCGCAATGATTCAGTCCTACGTAGTTTGTCTCCAAGGAGCTTCTTCGAGACAGTCCGCAAGACCGCATGCATCAACCCTGCACCCTGAATGCCCTTAACCCTAAACCCTGAACCCTAACCCTAAACCCTAAACCCTAAACCCTAAACCCTAAATGCCCTAAACCCTAAACCCTGAACCCCAAGACAAGACTCCTAAAGACGTCCCCGCCGCCCCCCTGCCTTGGCCTTTGCAGCTCCCACCTGGGAAGAATGGACTAAACCCTAAACCCGAAACCCTAAACCCTAAACCCTAAACCCTAAACCGGGCCCAGGAACTTCGGGGATTGGGGTTTAGGTGCTCCTTTCTTTCAGGCTTTCGGGGGCTTCTGAGTCAAATGATTGTGGAGAACGTTTAGGGTTTAGGGTTTAGGGAATTGTTTTTGCTCGTTGCTTTTACTACCATGGGCTAGGACGACCCACGTTCCGCTTTTCGAAAAATCGGATCCCTGACAAGCCTAGTCAGTCAACAAAGGGCAGTGGTTTTACTCCTGAATGCTCCCCAAACCCTAAACCCCTAAACCCCTAAACCCTAAACCCTAAACCCTAAACCCTAAACCCTAAACCCTAAACCCTAAGCCTGAAAACATCGTTCAATTTGACTTGAGGCATCCTCGCGGCTCAACGGCTGCAAGGTGCAACGGCTTTGGTAGATGGCCCTACATGCCCTCTTATGAGGGTATTGAGGGCTAGCTGAAAAGGGGTGCAGGTGAACCCTGACGTGAACCCTGACCTCTCAACCCGGAAGCCAAACCCTAAACCCGATGCGAGATCAATCATGATAAGTCCCGACCCCGGTTACTAGTGAGAGCTAGAGCTCGAATTCGGGCCTTCACGGTTAACCCTAAACCCTAAACCCTAAACCCTAAAGCCTAAACCCCTCAACCTATAAGGAATGCCTGTGACTTTGGGGCTTAAGTCCTTTGCAGCATCCTCCGGGCGCAGGACATTGGGCCCATTGGGCCGATTGCGGGTGTCCTGCTATATTCATCGGGTTTAGGGTTTAGGGTTTAGGGTTTAGGGTTTAGGGGTTACGCATGTTGGAATTTCTCTAAATTCGGGCCCCTATTGGGGTCCTGATTATAAGGCTGCCCCTATTAGTCAGGGTACCCAGAAAGAGACCATCCTGTTAAGAAATGGTCATATGTCATATTATACAACACATAGCAACAATACTAATTTCGCCAGGCATGTGGTCGCACGGAACCTAGGCAACACAGATGGGTTGCACCGATAGGACACGCAGGCCATCCGGGCAGCTTGCGTAGCTCGCCCTAAACCGTAAGCCCTAAACCCTAAACCCTTGCTTTTGAAAAAATGACATGTCGGCGTTTTAGGGTTTAGGGGTTGCTTTGTGCTCGCAGCTTGAGATTCAAAAGGGGTTGGCTCCACCCCAACTCCTAGAACAAGGAACCCCCTACTGGTACCCTACTATAGTCACAGGTTTGATTCTGAGGGGTAGCCAGGAAGTTCTTGCGAAAGGCAACTCAACAGCAGGGTTCTAGGAAGATTTTGGTGGCGGCATGACGGCTTCAGGGTTTAGGGTGTAGGGTTTAGGATTTAGGGTTTAGGATCTACGGTGTAGGAGTTGTGATTCACAGGTTAGGCGCTTAGGGCCCTTGCTTTGGCTTGTGGAAACCCTAAACCCTAAACCCTAAACCCTAAACCCTAAACCCTAAACCCTAAACCCTAAACCCTAAACCCTGAACCCTGAACCCTGAACCCTGAACCCTGAACCCTGAACCCTAACCCTACCCCAGGGTTTGGCACGTGAAGGCTATGTTGGGGCACTGGATATGAGGGCTTGGAGTCTCGCGGCCCGTTGCGTCCTGCGCAGAGTACCCGAAGCGTGAGTTCGTGGACCCCACACTGTCCTGAGCGTTGGGGGTCTAGGGTTTAGGGTTTCCAGGAAACTAGTAGTTCGGTTACTAAAGCCTTTCAGGACCTAGTAATTAGGCCCCCTAGAAGGATAGGGAGACCCACGAACCCCAAAGCCATGTATCTGAATCCGGCGGCCATGACTTTGGGCCGTGTAGCGGACCAGCAGACGATACCAACTTCCGGATTCTAGCAACCCAAACAACTAAGCCCTAAACCAGACTACCAACTTCCGGATTCTGGCGCACCCCAACCTCTAAGCCCTAAACGCCCAAAGCCTGATCCCTTGATCCCTAACCCCCTGAACCTTTGCCATCAGAACTCGAGTCCCTTTCACACTTGCACCCACTCCTAGGGTAGGTACATGGTCCCTTAATATCGGCCCATAAATGGGGACCCCTGTATATGTGGCCCTTGTATACCCTACCCAACCCAAGGGCCCATACTTCAGAACCCTTTAAAGGAGGTAAGGGACCATATTCAAACCCTAACCCTAAACACTAAACCAAAACCCAAAACCCAAAACCCTAAACCAAAACCCAAAACCCAAAACCCAAACCCTAAACCCTAAACCCCGGGACCAGAAAACTTCCCTCCGACCCACGGACGCAGAAGAGGCTTTTGATATCCAAGGTCGGATGGCCGCAGTTCCCACACAGGATCAGTTCCAAGTTGATGCTCGGTTCGGGTTTCGGTGTTCAGGGATCATTCAGAGGTCACCCTAAACCCTAAACCCTAAACCCTAAACCCTAAACCCTAAACCCTGGTCCTAGAACTCAGATCCGGAAAAGGTGGGATCCGGCCTTTCTCTGCACGCAGAGCTCATGCAGGTATTCAGGAGATCCCAACTCGCCTCCCTGTACTCGTTTAGGGTTCTGGGTTTAGGGTTTAGGGTTTGGGATTTAGGGCTTCGGGTTTGGGGTTTAGGGTTTAGGCTTGGGGTTTAGTGTTTAGGGTCTATAGGGCTTAGGGCCTTAGGGAGTTCTTCAGGGTCCGAAAACCCAAGGAAACAACCTCGTAGCGGGCCTGGGTCGGATCTCTTGCGTCATGCACCCGGCACGCCCAAATCAGGTGGGAGCTTCAAGGAAACGCTGGGCTTTATCGGGTTTAGGGTTTATGGTTAGGGTTTAGGGCTGAGGGTATTAGGGCATTAGTATTAGGGTTTAGGGCTTGCGGGTTTGAGGACTATCTGGGGATTTAAGGTTTAGGCTTCAGTTCTTTTTGTGAGGGGGAGGGGGGATGTTCAACAGTTAAGCACAACGGCATAGTGCCGATTAAACCCTAGAAGCCGAAGTCCGAAATCCGATATACATTGTTTCTTATTGGATTTTTGAAGTACGAAATCCTGCAAAAAAGTAGGGACTACGCACTCCACCAGTGGGCAGGCGTCTTAGACGCGGCAGATGCGGATGCAAACAAGCAAACAAGCTGGCGGCAAGCCAGAGAAGGGGGGAAGGGGGCCTGCTCCACAACGACCTTCCGCGATTCTTGGTCTAAAGGCTGTACGACCCCTAAAGTTTTCCCTGAACACCTAAACCCTAAACCCTAAAGTTTTCTCTGAACCCAACGCTGCTGAACGAAAAAAAGATTCATAATTAACTTGAAAAGCACTGGGCCTCAACACATCCATGCAACCCTCAATCCACTCCCCTTTTACTGAGAACCCCAAGCCCCAGCCCCTAAACCCCAAACCCCAAACCCCAAACCCTAAACCCTAAACCCCAAACCCTAAACCCTAAACCCTAAACCCTAAACCCTAAACCCTAAACCCTAAACCCTAAACCCTAAACCCCAAACGCAACTCTGAAGCTGGTCGTGCGGGGTTTTGGGGGCTTCGGCCGTAGTTCAAGGGTTCAGGGTTAGGGGACTTAAGGTCCGGGACCCGAAGCCTGAACTGCCCGGGGCCGTCTGGGATGTTTAGGGTTAGGGTTTAGGGTTTAGGGTTTAGGGTTTAGGGTTTAGGGTTTAGGGTTTAGGGTTTGGGGTTTAGGGTTTAGGGTTTAGGGTTTAGGGTTTAGGGTTTAGGGTTTAGGGTTTAGGGTTTACCAAGGCAGACAGAGGAAGGAGGAGGTGTTGAGCAGCCCCCAGAGTCTTAAAAAAGATGCACCTAATTTCGAGCGACTTCTGTGTCGCATGGACCTTAATTCGGCCGGAGAAGTTGCCAGGGTTTAGGGTTTAGGGGGTTTAGGGGGTTTAGGGGGTTTAGGGGGTTTAGGGTTTAGGGCTTAGGGCTTAGGGTTAGGGACGGAGTAGTTGCCGGAAAGACTCGACAAGACTCTAACGTCTAAAGCCCCGAACCCCTAAACGACCCGGAGGGTTTAGGCTCTCGGGTCTCGGCTCCGTCCAACCTTGGCCCCAACAACCCACACCCTAAACTCTGTGAAGCCTACACAGCCCTAACACCTAGAATCCGCAAACCCTAAACCCTAAACCCTAAACCCTAAACCCTAAACCCTAAACCCTAAACCCTAAACCCCAAACCCTGTAAAGACTGGGAGGCCCTTTGCAACCAGATCATAACAAGGGGTACTTTTTTTCTTGGGGGCTGGCTACTTCAATAAGGGAACGCTGATCCAAAAACAAAGAAACGGGTAACTTCTCCATGGGCGGCAAAGCGCTACGACAGCATGCAGCATGCAAACAGGCCATGGGCTCGTAGACATCTCTCCCTCCAAGGCCATGATTGAAGGTTTAGGGTTTAGGGTTTAGGGTTTAGGGTTTCGGGTTTCGGGTTTAGGGTTCCTACACCCTAAACTGTAAATATCCGGGGCGGGTCCACGAACCGCATGTGCCGGCCCTCACCTGACCAGAGGGCAAAACATGGCCCATCGGACCTTCCACTGTCAGGTTTAGGGTTTAGGGTTTAGGGTGTAGGGTTTAGGATTTAGGGTTTAGGGTTTAGGGCTAGCACTCTCAAGCAGCGCCGGAACCTGAAACCCACACCGCCCAGAGGCGCTAAACAGCCCCAAGCCCCCGTAAAGCCCTAAACCCTAAACCCTAAACCCTAAACCCCAAACCCTAAACCCTGAACCCTGAACCCTAAACCTAAACCCAAACCCTGTACCCTAAACCCTGAACCCCTCATACATCCTGCACATCCTAAGCCCGGCGAAACAACTCTTCAGACTGAACTGACCACAACATCTCTTCTGCATGAAGCTAGGCTTTATGATTTAATTAGGGTTTAGGGTTTAGCAAAGCAAAGCCCGCGCTCGTGAGGATTGCCCTAAAACCCTTAAAACCCGTAACGCCCTAAACCCTAACCCCATCACCAAGGGATACAAGCTCGCACCCCAAGCCCCTTACTACTTGCTAGAATTGGGGTGACCCTTTCAGGGGTTGGGGCAGGCATCGTTAGGGGTTAGGGTTTAGGGCTTAGGGCTTAGGGGTGTTACTCGTTAAGGGCCCCTTTGGGGGGCTGTTCTCTGCAGTCCCCCAAGCCTGGGATCCAAAACGCACGGCTCCAAGGCAAATCCCTTGAATAAGTAGCCCTGGCCCTAAACTCTAAGCCCGAAGCCCTAGTTCAAAACCAACAGACCTTAAGCCCTAAACCCAGAGAGCGCACGAGGAGCGCAAAAGCAGGATCTGAACCACATCAGCTGCCACCGTGAGACGACCCTTTGAACTATCGACCCGGGCGGGAGGGCGGGGCCCTCAAGGAATCTGCGAATCACTTGAGGAGGGATTTTGAAGCCAAACAGGCTTGCAGAGAGACTCAGCTGATGAACCATTTCATCTCTTGGCTTTGCAGACTTCAGCACGCTGCCATCCAAGTGAACGCTCACAGCAACAATAGCCCCCTCATTGTTGCGATATCGCTTTCCATGATCCCTCTGACGTGGAAACGGTGCTTGACAAAACTGCTGTTTGGCCAGCTGGAACGAAGAGTATGCTGAGCGGGCACGCCGACCTTTATTTCTCCACAGTTGCTTCTCAGTGCCACCTTCCACTGCTGGTTAGAGAGCGCACGAGGAGCGCAAAAGCAGGATCTGAACCACATCAGCTGCCACCATGAGACGACCCACTCCCCCGCACTGGTGGCTTGCAGAAGCCGCCGCAGAGACATTTTCACAAAGCCAGAGGCCCACTCTTCCGTCAGCATCAGGCACCTTCCAAGCCGAACCAGAAAACATCACGAATGGAGCAGATCGTGGGAGCCCTTCTCGAAGAAAACAGTATCCAGCCTCTCCTGCGGCTGGTCGAGATGACTGCGCTCAGAACGCGCAAACAAATCGCGCTATACCCGGTAACCTTCGAGAGAGCGTCAGTGGTAAGGCCTGTACAAAGGAACCAAACAAAAAAGAAACACAACACCAGCCCTAAACCAAAACTACACCCAAAACTTCTGCTTGCCGATGCTTCTGCGGACTGGCCGTCTCGCAGGCGGTGGCTGGCGTCTTCCGCGGCTTGGCCGGTCTGCAGGGTTTGACTCGCTAGGGATGTAGATCAGTCTGGGCAGGAGGTCAGCTGCCATGACGTGTGCTGCTGCTGACCGCAAGCAAGTGCGCAAAGGGCGCGCAGAGCTTCTGCCTTTGCTTATCGCGCCCACCACTACTTTCGCGTCAATCAAGAAGGGCACCTTGCGCCCATGCTTGTTGGCCTGCCTGCAGATCCATTTGAGCGCAAGCAAGAAAGCATGGGCCTCCAGCACTCCTGAATGCGCCATCCACTTTGCTTGCTCAGAGATGACAGTCTTAAAGTCCCGCTGTGTGTACCGAAGCTGTCGTGGTTTGCCAAGCCGAGAGACATAGGCATCATCGTCTTCTTCAGGAGTGAGACGTACGTAGTCACCACGTCGCTCTGCCAGGCGGCAGACTGTGGCAGCTTCGGCCTGGGTGCATCAACAGACGGCCACTCCAAAACCGAACTCCGGAGCTGCGTCAGCAGCGACCAGCTGCGGCAGCGGCTCTCTATCGAGCCGAGCGGTCAAAAGAGGCGCCAGCAGCAGCGTAACCAGCATCTCGTTCAGGGCTGCCGGCGGCACGTTGATCTTTTCAGCGGGCGGCTCCCGCCTCACGAAAGCATATGCGGCATCGTATATGGAGAAAAAGCCACGCTGCAGCAGCGCAAACCATTGCCAAACACCAAGATTCGCGTTGAAACCCAGCGGACTGGCCTTTTCTTCGGTGAGCAGGTCCAGTGTGCGACAAATACATGAGCAAAGCTTGCTGCGGCTCGGTTGCGCGACGGCCGGGCTGTTTGTGAGGTCACAACCCAGAGCTGTTAGACTCTCCGCCAGCGAGACGTCTTTGGCTAGGTTCCTTGGAACGCACTTTTCGTCAAACGCCCTGTCCAATTTTTCCAACCGCTTGGCGCCCTGCTCAGCATTCTTGTGAACCAGAACAGTATCATCTGTAGCCACCAAGCAAACTTCATCATGGCAGCTCGGCGTGTCATGATCCACACTCAGAATCTGTTCCTCAGGGATGCCGGCGGCCAAGCAAACTGCCAAAGTGGCATCTTGCGCCACTGCTGAGGACCAAGAAAAGCCCATGGGCCAGACCGCATGTACAGGGTACACGCAAAAATCTCCCAAGAGATCCCCACGTTGTACGTCTTGACAGGCTTCCCAGATGTCGTCAACGCTCATGCCAGCATGAACAAGTTCCTTCACAGTCACGGCCGGTTGACCAAAGTAAGGCTGCAAAGCATCAGGGACCTGCAGGACGTCAAAATACGTCGAGGCATCTCTCTTGGAAAAGTATATTCGCTGTCCTGGCTCCACCTCCATGTCAAGGAAAGATGCAGGGCTCGCCAAACGTCTGGGTCTGGGCGGCCGAGCTGCAACTTGTGACAAGTCTGCACCATTCCATATTTTGCGCTGTCGACCTCCGGATTTAGCAGCAGCAAAAACGCCACCGATGCCTGCAATCTCCTTACGGAGCTTTAGCTTCCCACAACGCAGTTCTCTGACCGTGAGAGCTATGTACTCGGCGCGCTGGCTCACAGGAATGGTCTGCTCCAAAGTCAAGCCTGGGCCGGCAGGAAAAACTTCAGCTGCTGACTGTATCTGAGCACCAAGCTTTTCTCCTACCAGCCTGGAAGCATCACAGGTAGCAGCCTTTGCAGGAAGATCGACAGCTTCTGCCCGGATGTGCTCGTAAGAACCAAAAGCCCCTGGCTCACAAGCTGCAAAAGAGCCACGCCAAGGCAACGAAGAGCCAAGTTCCTCCTTCAAACGCTGCAGGAAACTAGCTGTCATCCTGCAAACGTGGATCTGCGTGGCCTTTTGAGCTGTGGACGGAAATTTGTTCATCGAAGCATGCCCAAAAGAAGCTTTCATCCCGGTCTGCAAGCAGTTAAGCGTACCCAAGCAGAAGTTGGAGACTTTCAACACCACTTCGGCGTCCTTGAAAGAATGCTGCACCTCATCTGGCCACGCGTGCACAGGAGGGACAGGAAAGAGCGCCCGCAGCGGAGTCCCAGGAGCTTTGGGCGGTGCGTTTTGCCACTCCCTGATGTAAGAAGCCACATTGAGGTGCGAAGACACAACCAGCGACGCCAAAGCCTGTAGAAGCTCATGAGCGGCACAATCATGATGCGTCATGGTCGGAATGTCATGAGTCTGTTCCGCCTTCGAAGTCATATCGTCGCCCATGTCGCGCGGGGGCTCGCCTTGCTTCAGGCCATGCTGGAAAGGACATCGCACTGATCGGGCTATGAGCGTCTTCAAGTGGTGCAACGTGGCTCGCCATCGATTCCTCCTATTCCTGGCAGGCGAACTGTGTGCTGACTCTGCCCACTTCTCCAATCCCATTTGGGCGGCAGTAAAGCAAATCAACAGAAACAGAAACCCACCATGGCGGGCCCTCAAGGAATCTGCGAATCACTTGAGGAGGGATTTTGAAGCCAAACAGGCTTGCAGAGAGACTCAGCTGATGAACCATTTCATCTCTTGGCTTTGCAGACTTCAGCACGCTGCCATCCAAGTGAACGCTCACAGCAACAATAGCCCCCTCAACCCCTTGTAGGCCCGAAATTGTGAACCCCCATATTCTGAGGTTTGGGGCTTTGGGGGGAGTTTGTCTAAACCCCAAACCCTGAACCCACCTGCATGCACTCAGCCCGTCCCACCAGGAGCGGATGAATCGCCATCTGCACAGGCTTAGGGTTTAGAGGGTATGTCGGGTTTCAAACCCAGGGCCTGGGTTTAGGGTGTTCAGGGCTTTCGAAGTTTGCTTTGGGGTTGGTTTGGGGGGCTCGATCTTGATGTAGGGTTCGAGGTGGGTGCAAGGCAGTTTCCGGGTCGATTCTGAGTAGTTCGGGCCTTGGGATTTTACGTGCTTTCCCGGGACCCTGAACCCCTAAACCTCGAAGCCTGTAGCCCATGGCTTGAGGAAATTTTGTGGCGACTGCAGGCTATCCTCAGACTAAACCCTAAACCCTAAACCCTAAACCCTAAACCCTAAACCCTAAACCCTAAACAAGTTGCATTGCAAAACATCACAAGAAACCCTCTACCCCTCAGTTGTCTTCAGCCGTTTAGCCCCGGCAGCCCCTAAACCGCCCAAGCCCTAAACCCTAAACCCTATAAACCCTATAAACCCTATAAACCCTATAAACCCTATAAACCCTATAAACCCTATAAACCCTATAAACCCTATAAACCCTATAAACCCTATAAACCCTATAAACCCTATAAACCCTATAAACCCTATAAACCCTATAAACCCTATAAACCCTATAAACCCTATAAACCCTATAAACCTCTAAACCCTCACCCCCCCCCCCCCCCCCTCGGCTCTTCGAGTCCAACCTCTGTGAGTCCCAATGTCTAGGCTTCAGGGTTGACGTCTTACGTTTTGAGATGTATAGATGGACTTTAATGGGAAGCCCAAACCGGGAACCCCAAGAATATAGTGTGAGAATATACACGGAATACAAGGACGGTTTAGGGTTTAGGGTTTAGGGTTTAGGGTTTAGGGTTTAGGGTTTAGGGTTTAGGGTTTAGGGTTTAGGGTTTAGGCGGCCCTGGTGGGTATATTCCTATTAAACTCCTACTACACGTCTTGGGGTTCCCATTCGGATCCATCTCTTTCTTGGAGGGTTAACCTCAAAGCCTAAACCCTATTCAGAGAGTATTTTGCTTTCGGGTCTGCACTGATGGGAATTCAGAGGGCTCAACGGCTTGGATTTCGGATTTGGGGGAACCCTAAAACCCAAACACTTTACCCTAAACCCTAAACCCTAAACACTAAACCCTAAACCCTAAACCCTAAACACTTTACCCTAAACCCTAAACCCTAAACCCTAAACCCTAAACCCTAAACCCTAAACCCTAAACCCCTGGCCTCGACTGGGATTCGCCAGTGCCGCCTCCATGACTTCCATGCGCTGCACCAGCTTCTGTATCCCCTGCTCCACCTGGGGGGGGGGGGGGTTAGGGTTTAGGGTTTAGGGTTTCGGGGTTTCGGGGTTTAGGGGTTTAGGGTTTAGAGTTTCGGGGCTAGTGGGGTTTAGGTTTAAGGCTTTGGGGGTTTGAGGTGTGTTTTCACCTTTTTTCCCCCTGCTCCACCGGGCAGTTTGTGGCGTTTTGGTTTTCACCTTTTTTCCCTGCTCCACGGGGCAGTTTGTGGCGTTTTGGGAACGGAATTCTGTTGGGAGTCGTACTTTTGAAGGGTCCCAAAACCCTGAACCCCAAACCTCGGGGATTCTACGGGCTGGGGTTCTGCTTCCATAGCCAGACGGGGTATGTCAAGAATCCAAGACAAAAGGGCTTGGGGTTTCGGGCTTAGAGTTTAGGGCTTGTTTAGGGTTTAGGGTGAAGTGTTTAGAGCTTATTGACGCAGCAAGGAGGGAGGGCTTTGGGTCAAGTGAACCCAGCACCACCCCCAAGCCACACCAACAACACCAGAAACGGCGGTGTCTCAAGAATAGCCGCAAACTAGGTCCCCGAGCAACCTGGGCCTAGAGCACACGACCCGCCCTACTTTGAATATACTTTTCTAGGTATAAGTAGCAAGAATAGGAACCCAGAACCAACAAAAAAAGTATTAAAGTAAACCCTGAACCCTGAACCCTGAACCCTAAACCCTAAACCCTAAACCCAAACCGTAAAACCTAAACCCGCAACGCAGCCTATAGAAAAAGCAGCACCTTGTGAAGGCTGTGGATCATCCTGGGCGTGTGGTGCTCATGGTCGCGGCCACCTCAGGAAGCCAGGCAAACCCATGCGCCTTAGACCCGAAACCCTAAACCCTAAACCCTAAACCCTAAACCCTAAACCCTAAACCCTAAACCCTAAACCCTAAACCCTAAACCCTAAACCCTAACCCTGCACAGAGCCCTAATCCCACAAGCTCGAGGCTCCCAACACCCCAAGGCCCTTAAAGCCTTGCTTCCAAAGGGGCTTAGGGTTTCGGGCTCAGGGATTGAAGGGGTTTAGGGTTTAGGGTTTAGGGTTTAGGGTTTAGGGTTTAGGGTTTAGGGTTTCGTGTTTAGGGGGGTTGTGAGTGGCGCTTTCGGGAACATAAGCTTCCTCCTTGCCCTAAATTCGATCGGCTTGGGCAGGTTGATAAGTGCAAGGACAGCCCATAGGCGCAGCAAAGGGTTGTGGAGTTTAAGTCTCGTGGGGCTTAGGGTTTCAGATTACCTTGTCGGCTTGAGCAGTTCGGCCTCTTAAAGCCCCCCCCCCTAAGGTTTAGAGGTTCATGACGGGTGTTTAGGCGGGAGTAGGGTTTCGTTGAGCTTCCCCCCTAAACACCCTAAAACCCTAAAACCCTGAAACCCTAAAACCCTAAAACCCTTAAAACCCTAAACCCTAACCCTGACCCTGCTAAGAAGGCCACTGGTTGCAGTAGACATCGCGTCCTCGCGGGCACGCTGGAGGTATCTTCCAGGCTGCTACAGCAGCTACAGGGGTTTAGGGTTTAATGTTCTAAGCTTCTAGGATATAGTTGAGAGGGTTGAGGGTGAACAGAGCATCTCTGGCGGTCGACCTTTACGTTTCCCGATTCTAACGTGTTCCTTCCGGGCGGGCGCAAGGAAAGGTTCTTGGGACCGAAGGTCGGCGGCTGCGCTTCACAAACCCCTAAACCCTAAACCCTAAACCCTAAACCCGAAACCCTCTCCTCCATAGGCGCCGCAGCACGGGAGTTGCCCACGCCTGGAAAGGAGCGAAACCCTCCAACCTCCACACAAGCCCCCTAAAACCCTAAACCCTAAACCCTAAACCCTAAACCCTAAACCCTAAACCCTAAACCCTAAACCCTAAACCCTAAACCCTAAACCCTAAACCCTAACCAGGATGGGCTATGAGGCCATGTAATCCCCATAATCAACCCTATAAAGGGCCTTCTTAAGCGGTTTAGGGTTCAAGATCCCATCCTGGTACACGCCTGATTTTGGGCCGATTCTCTGGCAGTGTTGAAGGGTTCTTGGGCCCATGAAACTTCGAATTGACCTTTCGGGTAGGTAATGGTCCACGTGTATAGGGAGACACACAACTGCAGTTTCACTTTTCGCTTTTGTTTGAGGGGGTGGAATTCTCTCAATATAGCTTCTGCATCATTGTACTGACCATGGGAATAGCCTTGGGCAGACCCTACGCCCCTTTCTCCTGCAAGGACTGTTTAGCAGGGCAGGTGATTGTTCCGAGCGCGCACGAGCGATCAAGAAGAATTGGGCCGAAGTTGAAGCCGATGCTCCAGGAGACAAAGTCGTCCCGCCTCCCTTTAGCAGCCAAACATAAAGACTCATCTGTGTTAGAACTTGTGGTTGGGAGGTTGGGCTTCCAGGGCCGAAAACCTGGTTTAGGGTTTAGGGTTTAGGGTTTAGGGTTTAGGGTTTAGGGTTTAGGGTTAGGGTTTAGGGTTTAGGGTTTAGGGTTTAGGGTTTTAGGGTTTAGGGTTTAGGGACCCTGTAGACCTTGCCTGTGTGCTCACAGTGCCGCACGCTGTTCAAGCTGTTCAGTGTATCTTGGCCAGGGGAAGGGTTTAGGGTTTAGGGTTTAGGGTTTAGGGTTTAGGGTTTAGGGTTTAGGGTTTTGGGTTTAGGGTTTAGGGTTTAGGGTTTAGGGAAGGGTCCGGGCAATGTAGCATTCTACGCAGTTTCAAGCACGAGGTGATCTAATTCCACATGAGGATTTGGGCGGAACTGTCTGATCGTAGATGGACTCCTAAGTTTGAAGATTTCCCCTGCTGTTGGTTTTGCTGCTTTTCTTGTCCCGAAGGGAGGGCTTTAGTATGAGGGGATAGAGACTCGTTGAATGAATGATAGCATCAGGCATTGACATGGGGCCTGCAGAAGTATATGGATGCTCCGCGGGGGACTCGCGTGGCGTCTAGAAAACAACGCAGCTCCGAACTGCTACCAAACATGAACAGCTACAAAAAACTTGAAGCCAAAAGGAACCCAGAAACCTAGGTAACCCTAAACCCTAAACCCTGAACCCTGAACACTGAACCCTGAACCCAAAACCCTAAAACCCCAAATAAACCCTAAACCATAAACCCTGAACCCAAGCCTTTTGCGTGGCCTCAGTCCATGGCCCCCTAAACCCCTCATCCCACGAGCAGCAACCCTGCCCTGAGCCCTAAACCCGCAGACCCTCCGTCCGCACTGCCCACCCCGGGTTTAGGGTTTAGGGTTTAGGGTTTAGGGTTTAGGGTTTAGGGTTTAAGGTTTAAGGTTTAAGGTTTAGGGTTTAGGGTTTAAACCCCCCGCACCCGCAAACGCGTTGAACCTTTTCCTGAGGTGCACGCGGCGGCGCCGGAAGCAGTCAGGCTTCCTGCCGAGAGGAAGGGGGCTTAAGGGGGC